AATGTTAGTGACAGACACATCAGATATTAGTTAAAGTTTATGCAATTCATACACACCTTTTTAAGCAATAAGTTTTTAAGTATGAGGGTATCAGTTTTAATAATATACCAACCAGATTATTGCACTTTTCACAGATAATAGTAGACCATGATCAGGTCTTCCCTTCTACCCTACCAACTTTTCTCCCTGTACATTGTTGAGTTCATTCTTTTGTTTGAAGGCCGGCGCGGGGTCGTTTTCTAACAGCAGATGGCGCCACTGGCTTGCTACAGCTCCCAGGAAGATACTTTTGATTTGGGTGTTTGCAAAGTGTCTCTTTTTATCTTACAAGGGTGTTTTGCAAAAAGTTAATTTTGTATAAAAAAAAAATCAACTAGTAACAAAATAAGTGTGTATGCCATACATACGAGTAATTTAGTAACTCAGTATATTAATATAATGGTGCACTCACAGTCACTACCACATAGCTCATAGCTTTAAAAACACTTAGAAATTTTTACTAGGCAGTAAAATTTTTGACTGGTAACTGAAAAAAACCTCTATTATGGAATATCAGGGCTGATTCCCTGAGTAGAATAAGCATTCATTCATACTTGTAAGCTCCTTACTCACAGAGATGAACAGATGTTTCTAAATTATACCACACCAAGGACAATACTCGTTCTTTTTACCTCACGGTATATAAAGTAAGGGGAGGTAAAGAACGAGTAAAAAACAATAAAAAAATATTTCAAAGTAACTGCTTAACATACCATGGTTGTGCTTGGTGCCAGTAACAGAACCAACAGTTACATGAACATCAGTGAACACACGAACGCCCTGACGGAAGTCCTCGTAGTCACGGGCTAGATTAGATGTACCATTGATAGAAATTGTTGGTTCTTGAGGCTGCAGGACCATTACATAGCTTTCTAGGCTGGGCACCTTAAGAACTTTCCCATGGTCACATCTTAAGTAAGAATTAAATTTTTGTTAATAATACTGCCCTTGATGTCAAAATTGGAAAGCGCAGACATACAGATATTATCTAAAACTTACGTAATAGTGGTTGAAATGTGCAGATTGCGTCGGCCTGGAGTAGGGAACTCACGAGAGTTAGTGTAACCAACTCTTCGCATCAGAACTTCTAGATTTGTTTTGTTGTCTCCTTTGATTGACAGTTCAGTGAGATCTGAAACATTAGACATGATCCAAAAAATAAATGATATGAAATTGTCTAAATACTTTCAGATATGCATTGAATATTTAAAGTAGGCTTTCAAAACTCACCACTATTTGTTAGCAGTTCCATTCCTGGTTCCAAAAGTTCCATGGCAGGAACTTCCAAACTTTCTTTGCATTTGTGTAGACATGTCAAAACTTCTGCTCGCTCGGTACGATGCAAGAGAACTGAAAGTCCAGCCAGGTAACCGTGGAAATAATGTTTCATCTTATTCTCAGAACCTGCCAAAAAAAATGGTGTGATATTAACATATCTTACATAATTTCAATGTCACTATGACTTTAACTTTGCTTTAAATGATATCATAAAGTTCACAATACCTTGCCAACATGCACCAACAGTTACAGTGGTATTAATTCCCTTTGTAGGATGCAGAGGCCAGTCATCAATAATCTCAGGGTTCTTCCTTTCCGTTTTGAAAAGTTGTCCATCAACATACAGTTGTACATCAGGGAATTTGACCTCAACTGCATAGTGATGCCACACATCGTCGCAAACCTGAGGGAGCTTCCAGCGCCATTCAGCTGGTCTAAAGTTATTTTGATCTCCATCAGAGTAGTCTCTTCTCAGAAGAAGAATTAATCTGCAGTTTCTTACGAACAGGGCATAGTGGTGGCGGTTCATTTCTGTGGAAAATAAATGATGTAGAATAAGTCAAGAAGACGAGTCAACATGTAAAATATATATTACAATAAATAATTGGTGTTTTAACATACTATGGTCATCAGCAGAGCAAATAATATGCTCCTTCATGTGCTTATCAGCACCAGGCTGAGGCTTGTGCTTCATCCAGGTGGACATTGTGAATGTTGAAGCCAAATTATGATCCAAGACACTTGCTGGGACAGCCACAGCAGAAGTCACACCATCAAACTCGTACATTTGGTCTCCTTCTCGACCTTCATCTGTTTGTAGTCCTTTGGCCCAGTCAGCACCAGATGCTGGACTGGGAAGAAGGTCAATGCTGTCTTGGCTGGCGCCTAAAAGAAGAAGAGCTTCATCACTAGGTGGAACTCACATAACTCATAACAAGACTAAATTTCTCAAGCTTTTAACATACCACACAGCTTGCGTTGACTTGCAACAGAATAGGTGTCACGGTCGCAGCCCTTGCCAATGTGGGCAGTGGTTAAAGCGACACGGGCATCAACCTGGCGCACTTGGCAAGGTACGTCGCACAGTTGGAGCTCAGCAGAGGGAAAGAGATCAACCCGACCAGAACTGGGAGCATAGTCAATGCGTTCAGGAATACCTACAAAAAACGCAAAAAAAAAACAATAATTTCACAGAAAGATCAGTAAAATTACATAGGGGTTTAGATCTTTTCCTTCATTTGGTGAAGGATTTCTACTTTAATGCAAACCTTTCCAGCCCAAGCGGCACACTCTGTTTACTTTGATTGTAACCATGACTGGAACAGACTGTTTCATCCCGCAGTCATAAGCCACCACTGATAAGATGTGGTTGTGGCTTTTCTCAAAGTCCAGAGGTTCAGTATTACGAATGACTCCTGATGGAATAATAACAAAATATAATTAGTAACATTGTTAGACCAAAAACAAAAACAAAATAACAGTTAAAAAAATTGACTTCAACAAAGATAAATTACCTTCACTGTCGATGGTGAAAGGCTGTTCTGTCGTGAGAATTTCATACTTGCAAATGTCTCCAAATTTAGGAGTGCAATCACGGTCGGTGGCCTCAACACGAACAATTTCAGAGTAGAGGCGGCCTTCATCCACTTGGTAGACATATGATGGCTGCAGGAACACTGGTGCATACTCGTTAATGTCTATCACGGTGATGTGCACAGTAACACTGAAAGACAAAGAACAAAATAAAAAATCCAAACTCTGGAAACGAGATAAAAACAATAAGGAGGGGGAAACTGAATCCTTACTTCTCAGACACTTCTCCAGAACAGCTGACTGCCGCAATATCAAACTTGTAGTTCTTCCTCTTCTCACAGTTGAGGGTTCTATGAGGCTTCAGCTGCACCTCACCTTCTCCATCATCTTTTAGAATGATCTGCAACATCACAAGCAAAAACAAAGATATGATTAAAATGGGGCACGTCGTGTCATACATTTACGAAGAACCAGAAGTGTAGGCAGAAGACCGAAGCCCCTAGCCTCACGTCGAACTGCGCGGCACTCAACCCACCCTGCCTCAACAACGACCACCCCAAACAGACACCACCTGCCATGAATGGGGCAAAGGGAAATAGGGTAGGTAGGGTGAAAGGAAAGGGGGTGGGGTGATAGGATAGGGGGTAGGTGGTGGTGGAGGAAGGGCGAGAGGGTGCTAGAGCGGAGCAAAGCCCCTTGTTGGTAGACCGTAGACCTATCCTGCAGAACTGGTCACGCACGATCGATAGGGAGTGCAACGGGGGCGGGGTGGTCGGAGTGGGGCGAGGCGCGGGGCAGGCACGGAGGGGTCGCGCTGGCGCTGCGGGGCCCAGCTCCAACTGGCGCTTTGCTCCGCCCTTTCTCCACTCTGCTCCTAAGCCCGTCACCGAGCCGCGCAGGGCTTGACGTGGAGAGAGCACGTGTTGGTGAGAACACGGCGCGCCGAGGAATCAGGCGAGTGAAGGAAGTAACGCGCAGCGTTCGACGAAGATATTCAGAAAAGAAATCGCCAATCAGCCGAGTAGATGCTATAGATTGGTTAATGTTAAAGGCGTGCTGGAGGCCCTGAAACAGAGAAGGAAGGGGAGTCGTCGCCCTCTGCTGCCCTGGCGACGGGTCGACGGACGGGCGGGGGCAGGGCGGGGGCAGGGCGGGGGCAGGGCGGGGGCGGGCGTCTCGACGTTGAAGAGTTGAGGTGAGCTCGTCTCCAGGGACTGAGTCACGCACGCACACGCACCTGTCAGTGCACGCCGCCACGCCACGCCATGCCGTCGCTGTCTGCAGGGGGCAGCAGGCTTATGGCAGGCCGCCCGCCTGTAAGGCCCCTGTGCGACTCATGACAAAGAACCCCACCTCACCGCGCCCCACCCCGCCAAGCCCAAGTCCCCCAGGGGACAAAGAGGCGCAGAGCTCTGGCGACGGACGAGGCGAGGCGGGGCGGGGCGGGGAGTGGCGTCAGACAGGGAGAGACCAGAGAGACTCTTGGCGAAACGCACTACGCCCATCCACCTGGTGCCATGATACCCTCTCGCGCTCTCCACACATGGGAGCCGAGGCGCTCGTGTTGGACTTGACGCGCCGTGGCTCGGAAGAGAGTAATGTAGCCGCTAGAGCTGGGTTTGTTTAATTCAGCAGAGGCAGCAGCGCCCCCAGGCCGCGCCGGGCCGGCTGCAGCGCGCGTTTAGCATTCCGATGATCATTAGGCAGCACAACCACACAGTGGTATGCAAACACCCGCTCCGCCCGGGACTAATCCGCCCAGCGCAGGCAGTGCGAGGGCCCGGGCCCGGGCCCGCCCCGCAGAGCAAATGGCTTTCTTACCACCGACATTTTTGGGGCGCCACCCGCCGCCTCGCCGACTTTACATGTTCATCACACCACACACGCGCGCACGGCCCGCTGACGGAGCTCCCTGTTATTCGACGGGTTGGCTCTCTGTAATTGCCACCGCCATGAGGCTGCTGCGCCTAGGAGGCTGCTGCTGGGCGGGTAGACGAGGGAAGTTGGTCGTGGGCGTGGGGGCCGCGCCGGGCCGGGCTGCCGCCGGGGTGGCTGGCGCCATGCGCCACTAAGTCAAAGGGGGGCCGGGGGCGGGCGGGGGATGCTGCCGCTGCCGCCAGCTAAGGCGGCGAGCGGGGGGCTAAATTCCACCCCGCCTGCCCCGCCCCGCCCGGCTCATGGCATTAGGAACACTCGTGGGTCCGGCCAGCCAGAGCCCCGCGCCGCATAAGGCGCTCTCCAGACGCTGCGCGGTCCAGTCTGAGCCGACTAATAACAAACAAAAACGAAAAGATCGAATGCTGGAGGGGGCCGCGCCTAAAGCTCCGCCCATGGCGCTCGGCGGCGCCACGGCGGGGTCAACTTGTCCTCGTGGCCCTGCTCCAGCCGGACGCCGCACGGGCTTGGCGGACGGCCCCCCGGGGCGGGCTAACGACCAAGAGGACCGAGAGGATTACGCCTCATGGCCCGAAGGCCCGGCGCGGCCGCCCAAATACGCCATGAATAACACCCCGCCTTCCCATTCACGCCAGCTGCCGCTGCAGCGCCAGAGAAATAAAGAGTATTATAGGCAAACGACGTTTCGCGAAAGTTTTCCGTTGCAGCCGCCGCTTTAGTTGGCCGCTCGGCCGCTGGGAAGCTGGACAGTCCCCATTCATTTATAGGAAGGAGAATAATTATAGGGCGTCCAGCCCGAGATGCAAAATCAAAAACTCTAAAAAAGCAAAAACAGTGTGGCTATTGGCCTCACGGTCCTCGAGATACCCTGCAATACATAGTAATATAAAAACTGGAACATCAATCGACAATATTCTCTTCATCAAAACAAAGGGGAAACGTTTTACATTCGGGTAGAAACAGCCACTGGGGACTGTGTCAAAATAATAATAAATAAAAGATCTTTTTGGTGGAAAGGGCGAGAGGCTAGTCCTGTACTTAATTGGAAAAGTTTTTCTGATTATTTCGATTAAAAGTTGCGAGTTTTGAGAGAAATTTTTAGCCTTTACTGTATACTCGAGAGACGTGCGTCAGTGCGTCTCGTCTCGGGACCACAGCGCGCCAGTCGCACCACCACAGATTGTGTGAGGCTGAGTTGGCAGGGGCGGCGGCCGCGTACCTGGAGGAGCGGAGCGGAGCTGACTCAACGTATTACTAACGCAGTGAAGAGATTAGGGCGCGGGGCGGGGCGGGGGCGTGGCGGGGCGGGGCGGGGGCGGGGTGGTCGGCAACTCGCGCGCCTGCCAGGAATATGCAACGGTTGCGCTGCCATGAATGAAAACCTGCCAACTTTGGGGTGCAGCGCGGACGGAGCAGCGCCGCGCACTTCTTTGGGGGAGGCGGGGGAGGCGGGGCCGAGACAGACAAACTGAAAGCTCTGCGCGGCGCGCGGACTCTAGCAGAGGGGGAGCCTTTCTTCTTTCTCTCGGCCCCTCCCTCCTCTTCCTCCCCGCGGGGTAGAGTTGACTGACGGGCCGGCGGTCATTCCCCCTCCGCCTGGAGAATAGGCAACCACTCCTGCATGCGGGAGCGCCGCGAACACACTTCTTCTCGCCACGAGCAGCGGGGCCGGGCCGTCGCTCAACTTTGGCGAACATGTGAGGGGTGGGAGAGGAAGTAGGGGGTAGGGAGATGGGAGGGGGTAGAATCGACAACCCCCGAGCCTCCCCCCACCCTTGCCCTCTCTCTCTCAAGGAGTATCAGCCATGCGAGGCACGCGCGAAGCCCCCCCCC